AGTCTGGTCACGTGCCTGGTCCTACTGACCCGGGGGCATGTCAGCCTGTGCAATGGGAGGGCAGAGCCGCCTTCCTCTAAGATTCACCCCACAGGGGAGTCCCCCAAACAAGAAAGGGGTTTGAATGCTGAGCAGGAGAAAAAACAAAATCATAAAAACGGCAAATATTCACCTTGGCTAGGCACTGTGCTAACGTTTTGCCTGAATTATCTCTTAATCTTCACAATTATTTTCTGAGCGGCATTGCTTCTATCAACCTCACTTTACAGTTAGGGAAACAAGCTCTGAGCTTCTTTATCAGTAATAACCCCAGACTTTTGGGGTACTGTGAAGACCAGCCTGGACGCCTCAGAGCCAGGCTTCTGGAGGGGTTGCCCTAAATGGGGCGTCACAGAGGTGGAAGGAACCTGTCCAGTCTGAGCACTGCTTAATTCTAGATGCTACTGCTGTTGGCCTGCCTGGGCCAAGGGGGCACCATCCTGGGGACGGTGGCAGACACAGCTGAGCCACCAAAAGCAAACGGTGTGTCAGGAACGTGTGCTTTCTGGTGGGCCTCAGCACATGGGCCGTCTGTCACGAAGCTGGCTGCAGCCAACAGCCTGAGGTGGTGCCCACTGCTATGTAAACAGAGATACTGGGTTCTGAGAAACAGAGGTGTGAGCCCCCTCGCCCCACAACTAGGAAGAGGAGAAGGCATCTGAAAGGGAGAGAGAAGCCAGCCAAAACCCAAGCACTGACCCAGGAGCCTCCTGCTGGTGGCCCAGGTCTCCCCCATCAGACCAGGAGTTTCTGAACCTGAGTCGGGGCAGGGAGTCTCCCCGCTTAGACGAGGCTCCTGCGAGTGGAGTGTTATCTCTTCCAACATATCAGGAGGTCCTGTGTGCAGGGCTATGTCCCCCATTTCCGACTGGGGCTTCTAAGGGAGGAGTGTCTCTTCCTTCAGACTAGGGGCACCTGAAGGCAGGGCTGAGGGTTCTAAGAAGTCCATGTCAGCGAGAGCCGTGCAGTTTGGAGGAGCAAGACCAGCAGAGCTGGATGGAACCTGGTCACACTGAAGGGGAATTGAGACCCAGAGAGGGGCAGGGGCCTGCAGAGTTCATCCCCCAGGGGGTAGCTGTCCAAGACAATATCCTAGGACTCTTGCCTCCCAGCCAGGAGGAATTGGGATGACAGGGGAAGTGTGGCCTTAGGAATGCAGCTCCCAGAGCCAGGCAGGAGGGGGCAGCTCTGTGGGGGCCAAGGCTTGGCCCTGGGCTGCCGACCCCACCCCTTGGAAACGCCTCCGGTTGTTCTGTCCTGGATGTTTGCATCCTTGGCCAGGTTCCTGGGCAATTGCCTCATCCCACGGTGGCCTACAGATGTGCACAGCTGGAGGAGGGGCTCTGGGTGGAATCCAGTCCTGCCCAGTGCCGGCCTGGGCCAGGGAGTTGGGACTCTGGGTCCCAGTCCCCGCCTCCACCTCTACCTGGTTGTGTGGCCCTGGGTAGGGCCGTGGCCTCCCGGGGCCTCAGTTTTTTCTCTGTCTCATGGGGGAGACTCTTCTTTCATCAGATGTTGACTGAGGAGCCGGGCACATCCAGCGGTCCCTGCCTTCAAGTATTTTATGCTCCTTGGAGAGCTGACATCGAGCATCTGTAGCAGTTTGTGGAGCTCTCGGCATACAGGGGGCTTCACAGGAAACGGTTTCATTTTTCTCCAATCTCTGGCCCCAGCTGTGCAGTGGCAGATCCCAGGGTGCTGTGGTCACTTTGTTATTACAAGGCCATCTGTTTGAAATCCCAGTCTCAGAGGCAATTCAAAGCTTTTCCTTCCTTTGTCCCCAGCCACCAGGCTTATGGGACTTGGAAAGTAGTGCGTATGTGTGTGTGTGCGTGCACGCACGCGCGCGCGTGTGTGTGTTACCCCGCATGGGGGGCTGGCAGCAGGGATGCTGGTTCTTTCCTGGTGTCCTGAGTCTAGTATCTTAGAGTATTTGGGGTTCCATGGTCTTCTCCTGGGATACTTCCCCCCTCCATCTTTTTAAAATGAAATTTTTTATTTTTAAGAAATTGTGGTAAAATATACATAACATAGAATCTACCGTCTTATCCATTTTTAAGGGTACAGCTCAGTGGCATTAAGTACATTCACAGTGTCGTGCAACCACCACTACTGTCCATCTCCAGAACTTCTTTATCATCCCAGGGTAAATCCCCCTCATTTTAAAATGATAGCTGTATTGAGACATGATTCACATAACATACAATTCACCCATTTAAAGCGTACATGTTAGTGGTTTTGAGTCCAGTCACAGGGTTGTACAACCAGTATTACAATCAAATTGAAAACATTCCATCAGCCAAAAGGACATTCCCTTCCGTGAAACACCTCAACCCCATCCTTCGCGACCAGCCCCGCCCCTTAGCCAACCACTGATCTATGTTCTGTCTCTATGGATTTGCCGGTTCTGGACAGTCCCTATAAATGGAATCACACACCACGTGGCCTTCTGTGTCTGGCTTTTTTCACTTAGCATAATGGCTTCAATGTCCGTCTATGTGGTAGCAGGTGTCAGTGCTTCATTCCTCCCTCTCCATTCTTAAGGTGTAGCCTCTCTGGTGTAGGGGCTGAGGGAATCAGGGCTCAGCAGGCAACAGCTCCGTGTTACCACCCACGGCCGGGCTCCTCTCTGTGGATTGATGCTGCTGGTGGCCCAGCCAGTGACCTCAGCGTGGCAGGTGTCTGAGTGCTGGCTCACCGCCTTGCACGTGTGTGCATTCTTCGTGGGTCCTGAGGGGTCAGTCCCTCCCCTCTCTGATCGTCAGTTTCCTCATTTGTCAAATACCTTTCTGAATTTATTTTACTCCCATTTTACAGATGGCCCAGAGAGGGGAGGCAAGGCAGTGGCGCCCAGGCCCCCAACACCCAGCCCAGGGCTCTTTCCTCTACCCCTGGCCATTGTCCTCTCAGGAGTCTGGGCCGGGCCAGTCCCAGGGGACTCACAGTGGGCAGTGGATGTGGAGGCCCAGCTTTCTGAAGATGAGCGGCACTGGGGTTCTCATGATAGTCGTGCTGTGGGTACCGCAGCCTGAGCCACCTCGCCTCTCTGCACCCATCTCTGGGCCTGCCTGGGAGCTGACTCTGATTGTCCTGGGGCTCCATCGATGTGTGTAGACTGTTCCCCACAGACACCAGGCTCCAGCAGTGCCACAGCGTTCCCAAGGGGCTCATACCCAGATCCCTGCATCCCATACACCACGTGGTGGGATCTGGGGCCCAGCATGGCAGTGGTGGTGCAGTTTGGGCTGTGTCTGGGCTCGCTGGGCCTCTCATGCCCACTCCTGGGCAGGGCTCTGCCTCCAGGCCTCAGGGCCTGGGAAGACAGACACCTGATGGTCCTTAATCCAATCTCAGATGCAGATTCACATCCCTGAGCTCCAGCCCAAGGCTTAACCTTGACTCAGGTTCCAGGCTAAGATCCCAAACTGTCCCTAGACTGAGACTTGCCCCCAGCTCCATTCCAAGCCCTGATCACAGTCCCAGACTGAGCCCTGCCCCTGGTTCCAGGCTGAGCCCTTACCAAAGATTAAGCTCTAAACCTAGCCCCCAATCAACTTGACTCTGGTCAGAAATTCAATCAGGAGCCAGCTCTAATTTCAGTCCTGATCTCAGTCCTTGGCTGAACTGTGACCATGGCCACAGACTGATCTCTACTTTCCAAACAACAAACTAACCCTTGACCTGAAATGTAACCCAAGTGTGAGCCCAGGAGCCCTTCACAGGGCAGAATTTGTGCTGGACCTAGAAGGAACGTTAGTGCTTCACTGGGCAGAGTTGTGGGGACTATGTGCATGGAGGCTCAGAGGGGGAGAGTGCAGAAGGAAGTGGCATCTCAAAGAGGAGGAGGGAGTGGCCCGGGGAGTACTGCTGTCCAAATGGGGAGAGGGTGGAAGGACTCCGGACTAAGAATCCATAGCTGTGGATCTAAGCTAGGCTCCCTCATCTATTGTAACCTTATTTGGGAGGAAGCCGCTGGCCTCTCTGTTGTTGCTTCTTCATCTTAAAATGGATCCACCTGGGCTTCCCTGGTGGCACAGTGGTTAAGAACCCGCCTGCCAATGCAGGGGACAGGGGTTCGAGTCCTGGTCCGGGAAGGTCCCACATGCCACGGAGCAGCTAAGCCCATGAGCCACAACTACTGAGCCTGTGCGCCACAACTACTGAAGCCTGCGTGCCTAGAGCCCGTGCTCCACAACAAGAGAAGCCACCACAATGAGAAGCCCACACACCACAAAGAAGAGTAGTGCCTGCTCACCACAACTAGAGAAAGCCCGCGCGCAGCAACCAAAAATAAATAATAAATAAATAAATAAATATTTTTTAAAAATCATAAAAAAAAAAAAGGACCCACCCGCTTTCCTCTTGGGTCATGTAGCTCCCTGAGAGTGTAGTCAAGATATCTTGCCTTTAGGTCTTCTTACACACTGACCCTTTGCCTGGACCGCTCTTCTTTCCTTGCCCACTCCTGCATCCCCAAAGCGAAACGCCCCTTCCTCTAGGCAGCCTTCCTGAAGCGCTTTGTGGTGGACATAACATGAGCCTTGATCACCCTTCAGTGAAAGATTTGGTGTCCTGGGTCTGGAGCGCTGTCTGCAGGCAGCCTTCACATTTCAGCAGTCACCCACTTCAGGGCTGCCCACATCCAGTGACTGATGGCAGGAGGAGAATCAAAGACCTTCTTGCAGCCATCTCCGACGAACTCCAGACAACTCCCTTCCTGCCCCTCCCTTCCTCAGGTGTTGATCTCAGAACACTCCCTGCTAAGCACCTACATGCTGACCTCCATCTCAGATTCTGCCTCCAGAGAACCCAGCCTGTGACACCCCCAGGCCAAGTCCTAAATTACACCCATGGCACTTGGTCACCTCCTTTAGAACACTTATGAGAATGTAGAGTCCTTCCTTTTTCCTGTCTCCTTGTACTGGAATTGTCATGCAGAGGGCATGGACACAGCAGTAGCACACGGTGCATATGGAGATCGCAGGGGGAAAGCTCAGAGGCAGAGACGCAGCAGGGTCTGCAGTACCCTGAGCTCTCATCATCCCCCTCCTGGGTTCTCAGCACGGCAGGCACGTCCTCCACAGGGCCGGTGATGCTGCAGAGGGACCTGCCCCAGCCAGCCAGCTGGGCATGCAACCGCCGCCAAGAGAAAGGGCCCACTCCGGACTGTTGGCCAAAGAGGTAAGAGGGAATGCGTAATTTCTCTAAGTAACAAGAAATATAACAAGGGATGTCTGGGTGTTAGTGACGCTAGGGAGTATGCTTGCCAAGGCCCAGGGCTGCACCCCAAGGATGAGGAAGAGTCTTGAAGAGTGTCAGCAGGCAGGAACACGGATACGCACCAAAGCTGGGGTTGGCTGTTGCCTGCAGACGAGGCAGGTGCAGCCAAGCCAGCTCTCTGCTAAGCTACCAAAGGTGGGAAGAAAATGAGCCTCCAAGGCTCTTCAGACTTGTCTCTCATCAAAAATATATGCTTTGTGAGGGTAGGAGCTGAGTCTGTCTTGTTCCCTGCTCAATAAATTGGATGTGTGTTATGGATGAATAAATAAATAGATCAAGAGATCAGGGATGGAAAAGCAATTTACACTTCTGAAGCATTATGCGAGACAGGGGATAACTGGGGAGAAAGGCTTCTTCTAGAAGTTATTCCTTAGGAGAGGCCAAAAAAAAAAGTCTATTAATAGATTCAATTAATAAACATCAGCCAAGGTAAAGGTTAACAGGAAGCACCTCCGCAAATGTTGGCGGTCTCTCAGGCAGGGCTCGGGGTTGGCTGGCACGCAGGCAAAGAAGGCATCCTCCCTCCTGTTTGCTCAGAGCACGGTCTCAGCCCTGGGGGAGCCTCATCCCTACATCCTGAGTGGGGGCCACAGCCCAGATGCTTCCCGGAAGCTCACCCCACTCCAGCCACGCTGGCCCCTTCTGTGTTCCGTAAACACACCAAGCCTGTTTGTACCTCGGGGTCTTCCCCCTTGCTGATCCTATTGTCCCTCTTCCCCTCACTTCCTTCAGGTTTCTGTGCAAACATCACTTCCTCAGAGAGGCATTTTCTGACCCCAATCTAAAATAGCAGCCACTGTCCCCATCACTGCCCATCTTTAAAAGAAAATTCGGGCTTCCCTGGTGGCGCGGTGGTTGAGAGTCCGCCTGCTGATGCAGGGGACACGGGTTCGTGCCCCGGTCCGGGAAGATCCCACATGCCGCGGAGTGGCTGGGCCCATGAGCCATGGCCGCTGAGCCTGCGCGTCCGGAGGCTGTGCTCCGCAACGGGAGAGGCCACAGCAGTGAGAGGTCCGCGTACCGCAAAAAAAAAAAAAGAAAATTCCCTGGCTCTGTTTTAATTTAAGAGGACTTGTTACAACCTGGAATTGGGTATAGAATATATATGCCTTTTAAAACATTATTTGTTTTGTATTTTTGTCCAACTCCCCCCTCTAGAATGAAGACAGGGAATTTTTCTGTCCTGTTTACTGCTATATCTCCTAGAAGAGCGCGTGGCCCTTAAGTAGGCACTCAGCAAACTGCTGAATGAATAAGTGGGGGGTGAACTGGACAGAGTCCCTGTCCTCAAGGAGCTCCCCTTCTAATAGGCAGCGCTGGCAGCTAACTGGGCAGTTTCTCTGTCATGCGCTGAGTGATGTGACGAAGGCATGGGGGATGCTGAGGGGGAGGGACAGCGAGGAAAGGCATAGAACCGTGCTGGGAGGATGAGGGATGGCTTCTTGGATGAGGCCACATCTAAACCACAACCTGAGTACCGAGTCAGAATTCTCCAACTAGGAGGGAGGAGGAGAGCATTCTAGGCAGACGGAAGTAAAGGTTTAAAGTCCTGAAGGGCTTCCCTGGTGGCGCGGTGGTTGAGAGTCCGCCTGCCGATGCAGGGGACGTGGGTTCGTGCCCTGGTCCGGGAAGATCCCACATGCCGCGGAGCGGCTGGGCCCGTGAGCCATGCCCGCTGAGCCTGCGCGTCTGGAGCCTGTGCTCCGCAATGGGAGAGGCCACAACAGTGAGAGGCCCGCGTACTGCAAAAAATAAAAATAAAAATAAAGTCCTGAAGGCAAGAGAGAGCCTGGGAAGTTGATAGAATGTAAAAAAGTTTTGTGGGCCTGGATCAGAGTGGGGAGGGGGAAGAGGCACAGAAGAGACTGGATGGTGGGCAGGGGTCCGCTCACAAAGCATCTAGAGCAGACGATAAGGCAGGAAGTAACATGACCAGATCATATTTCTGCTTGCCAGTGTTTTCTAAACATTCATAATCTTCGGGAACTTTGCCATATCTGGCATCTCTTAACCCAGTGATAAATACTATTCACTTAATACTTTACATGTAGCCGACTCATTTTACTTAAATACGTTCATTTAAAAGGGAAACCCTTTGTAAACTATCCTAACTTGTGTCATATACACAAACTAACAGTAAAACTAAACCTAATGAAAACGAAATTATGTTCCATTTCACCACCTGCTAAGGTTCTGATTCCGAAGTCTACCTTCTCCTGTTAAAAAAAGAGATTAACATGTCGGCAAGGTGCTAAAGATGAGATAGCACTAAACGGGACTTTCTCCTTGACTAGATCATCAGAAAGATTCAAAGAGGATTCAAAGGAAATATTAATATCTTTCTTACTGTGTGAGGCAGTGTTACTTCAGCTGTATCTGGATTTCTTCTAAGATTATTTCATAATGACATAAAATAATTTTAAACATGACCAGTGGGATGATTTCCACAGAGACTCGCTATAAATCTTTCGGATGTCTTTGAGTGAACAGAAGTAGGGTATGGAAGAAAAAATGGGGTAGATGGCCAAGAAAACTGAAAAAGCCAATCAATCAAATTGTATCCCTTCACTCCTCTTACATTGTAAAACCTATCCATCCATCCATCCCACCACCTGGACATCCACCAGCCTGCCCATATGCCCACCCACCTTTTTGCTTATCTGCTTGCCCACCCACAAATCCATTTACTTACCCACTTGTTCACCTGCTTCCCCATATACCTGAGTATCTTCTCACCTGCCAAATACATGCACCCATTCCCTCCATACAACTGCTCTCCTTAAACATTGCCCACCCACTCCCCTGGCTACCTATCTACCTATTATCCATCCATCCGTCTATCCATCCATCCTTCCATCCATCCCATACATTACATTCCACACTTAGCGTCTTGACCCCTAATTCTCCTGTTCCTTCTAAAATAGAAACTGTGGCTATGACCCCTTTAGCTGAGTTCTGATTTGGGTGTTCATTGCCTCTTACAAGCTTCAGTCCTCCCTGAGCTTCCCTTTGGGTTGTCCACAAATGGAATCTCTGAAAATCACCTTATTCTTGCTGCCCTTGACCTCTTCCCCTCATACACTCCTCCTCACCAGGTGTCTTATTTTCCTATAACCTTACCAGGGCAGAGTCCTAGATTGTCAAAGATGTGGGCAGGTCACAGGATGAGCCAGTCACAGTATTAGGAACCTTTTTATTTCTCAAGATAAATCCTCCGGTGCCCATAAACTACTCCTGCATTTCTAAAATGTCAGGGCTCAGAGCAACCTTAGACATCATCTCTGAGTGGTTTTCCAGATGGGCCTCACAGGGTGGGTGTTGTGAGCGGTCTAGTCTCCCATTCCCTACAGCCCTACTTAACTAGAGGATGGGAGTATGTGGGATTTTTTTTTGAACAAAGGGTTTTGCTGCTAAGAGGAAAAAAATGTTTAAACTCTTTGTTCTCAACCAGTGCCCTCATTTTATGGACAAGGAAGTAGGTTCAGAGAGGAGAAGGTTCCTGCTCAAGGTCACGCATCAGGTAAGTTGCAGAGCAAGTGTGCTAACCCAGCTTCCTTGGCCTTGTCTTTTTCCTTTGCTGAGCATCTCCTGGCTTTAGAGGGACCTGAGTTATGGCAGCCAGGGAAGAAGGAATGCTATTCTTCTAGCCCAGGCATTCCTAGGGAGGGCAAATGATCCCAATCACTACTTACGGACTGAGGACATATATTTTAAAAATTAACGGTGGTCCTCTGGATTCCTTGGCTCCCTTCACTGGGAACTGGCTGCCAAGAGGAGGCAAGCAGGGGCACCAGTTTTACTCCCAACCTCTCTTTTATGATGACCCCCTCTCCTCAGCAGCATCTCTTTGCTCTACAGAACTCTGCCCGTTAAGGTTATGGGCACAGCGCACACTTTGTCCACTGTGACTGTGGACTTTGCCCCTGAAACCGATAATCCCTCTTGGGAGAGACACGAGATGTTTTCCTCCCCTGACGCACAGTGTGTGCTGCTCTCCGCTCCCTAGTGGATGGCGGCAGTGTCAGGGCTCTGTGGACTCCTCTGGCTCAGCGGTATTTGAAACGCCACCTATCGACGTTCTCTAGGAGGGGGGCCAAGCTCCACGGCGCCGACCTTGTCCTGAGACCCTCCACCTGCGCCTCCTGTCACTCTCAGAGTTTTCTGGGCTCGTCAACATTTGCTGAAGTGTCATCCTTGCTTATTTGCAGGTCCGCTTTAAACCCTGCCCCTGGCCTTTTAACACAGGTAAACTCTCTTTGCATAACATAATGATCTGTTGAGAGCAGGCTCTGGAATCAGGCCACCTGAGTGCAGATTCCAGCTGCTTTGCTTACTGGTTATGTGCTCTGTGGCAAATTACTTAATCTCTCTGGGCCTCAGTTTCCTCATCTGTAAAAATGGAGAGATAAAATAATAGGAAGATACTTGGGCTGGGCTCTGAGGAAGAGAGGGAGAAGGGGAGAGGAAAAAGAATTGTGGGCAGAAGGGAACAGCATGTACAAAGGCCCTGTGGAAAGAGGAAACAGAGCATTTTACCTGGGACTGAAAGAAGGCCCAGGACCGTGGAGACGCCCTAGCTTGGCTTACTCAGCATCTTTCGTAGTGTGCCTTCCTGTACTAGACAGACCTAGAAGCTAGACTTCTGAAGCCAAGCATACAGATGCGATTTAGGTTCTATCAACCATGGACATTAACACAGGAAGGCTGAGGTCATACTTTTCTGATTTTCAGTCAAGCGGAGTCCTGGGTTGTTTTTTTCTCTGCGGCTGCTGTTGCAGAGCGTTCAGGGTCTAGCCCCTTGTTTGTGATTGCAGAGGAGCTGGGGGCACCCCTCCTGCTGACAGGGATCAGGGCAGAGTATAGTCCTGCAGCCAGCAGTGGTGGCAGCAACCAGATTCCCGGCTTCCCAGTCATGACAGAGGCTGCAGTGTTACTCTGGGGATCATCTCTGGAAGCTCAGCCTAGGACCAACCTCTCCAGCCCTCCCAGTAGTGTGTGAGCACTGTTTCCCTGTATTACATTCCTTTCTGCTTAAATGAACTGCGGTGGTTTCTGTGATCTGCAGCTGAGCTGGACTGTGGTGGACAAAAGAAGGCCACACATTCTTCCCATCAAGGAATGGAGCTTGTTTCCCCTCCCCTCAGCGTGGGCTGGCTTGTGACTTCTTCACCGAAAGAAAGTGGTGGAAGTGATACTATCAATTCCAGGCCAAGGCTTGAAGTTAAGAGGGGGAGGTTTTTGCTTTTTTACCTGTGGAAAGTTCACTCTTGAGAGACTCTCTCCGAATCCAGCTGGCGCGCAGTGAGAATCCCAAGCCACATGGAGAGGCCCTGTGTGGCCTCTATTTGACAGTTCTAGTTGAACTCTCAGGCAACAGCCAGCATCACCCACCAGACATGTGAGTGATCACCTTGGAAGCCCAGCCCGGTCATGCCTGCAGATGGTTCCAGACCCAGAAGAACCACACAGCTGAGTCTAGTCAAACCCAAGAATCACGAGAGAACTAAGATTTGGGGTGATTTGGGGGTCAGCAATAGACAACCCAAATACTGACGTGTACAGGCAGATGGAGTAAGAGGAAGTGGGGTGAAGCTGGAGAAGATTATGTGGAGCCTGGTAAGCCATGGTTAGGAGTTTTGTTACTATTCTAAAAGCAGTGGGAAACTGCGGAAAGATTTTAGGTAGAAAGGTGACATTATGGCATTTCCCTTTCAAATGCATCACCTAGCCTGCTGTGTGGGGAACAGACCGGAGGGGGAGCCAGAGAGGTGAGCCAGCCTGGAGATAAATGCAGGTGTTGAGGCAAGAGCTGAAGGTGGTTTGGACGGGAGAGCGGGGTGGGGCTGGGGGTTAATGATTGAAAGGGAGCAAAGTGGATGATCAGTGATATTTAGGAGATAAAATTATAATGACTTGGGGAGTGCTGGTAATCTATGTGGGCTTTACCTAACTAGTTCCTTCTATTCTCTGTGCCCCATACCTCTACAGAGTCGACAGTGGAGAGAGCAAGGACTCAGGTATCAGACACATTAATTCCAGTTTACTACTTAGCTGCTGTGTTACCTTGGGCAAGTCACCTAACTTCTCTGGACTGCAGTTTTCCTCAAACGGGGGCAATACGAAGCATGATCACAGTAGGTCCACTTGTTTACTGAACAGTGCCTGGCACATAGCAAGCACACAATAAATCTTTGTTGAATGAATTTAGTGGGTTGGAATTAATGAGCTACAAAGAAGAAATGACCTTATTTTTCTTCTCCCCCTGAAAACTTCTGTCAAGGAGGGCTTTCCCTTCCTGCATGTCTCCGAGCAAAAGCTGAAAAGAAAGCTCCTGGAGCAGGACCTGGAGGAGGCCACTGTCTGGCTGGATGGATAAAGGGGAGGCACAGAGAGAGCAGGGGTCGGGAAGTTGAAAGGAACAGGCTAAAGGGTATGTGTTTGGGGCCACGTCCTGTCCTCTCGGGCCTCAGGGCCCCCATCTTAGCCTGGGTGGTTGAAAGCAAATGTTCTGCCCACCAGCCATTCCTGCTCCAGGCCCCTTGCTCATTCTTTCTAACTCTCCATGGCAGCCTGGCCTTTCTGCTGCCCCTTGCAGAGTCCCCCTCCTGGGAGAGACCGCTTCTGCTGGGTTTCTGTGTCCGCCACCCTCCCCCAACACGGACACCTGGGGCCTGGCACCAAGCGGGCTGTGCCTGCCCATGCGAGGGACAGCCTCTCTCCCCCCAGTCCTCAGGCCCTCAGGAGCAGTAACTGGGTGCAGGGGAAGACAAGGCAGAGAAGGGGCCCACTCTCCTGTTTTGAGCCCCTCCCGCCCTTGGCTCCTGTAGGTAATCACTGAGCTTTTTGGGGGTTCTGTAGTATAAGTTGGGTTACCTCTAGCTTTCTCTGTTGGCAGTTTAGGGTTCAGGGTTCTTGGTTGCCCTAAGTTACAACCCACTGATCTGCTTTTCTGCCTTCCAAATTTTGTTAATGTTATCTCCTCTTCTGGGCTAATTATCCTTGTGGTTTTACGCCTTAAAAAAAAAAAATCCCTTTTGCCTTCATGTTAGTGGAGGGTCAGGAGGGAGTGGAGTTATGTGTGTGTGCTCGATCTGTCTTATTTAGCCAGAATTCATAGTCAGTCTAATTTAATCTTCACAACAATACCAAGGGGCCGTATTATTATTCTCATTCTCAGAGGCTCGGAGAAGAAGTCCACAGAACTAATAAGTGGTGGAACCTGGTGCCACCCACAGCCCTTGGTCTCCAACACTCTTTTCACCTCACACAGCTCTCCTGGCAGTGCTCAGAGAAGGCTGTGTCCTCCTCACTTCCACAGAAGTTGGCATCGTATGTGGTAAAGTCTCAGTTTGTCGGAAGGACGCCGTGGGGTGATCATACCTTCCTCCATCTAAACGTGTCCTCTGACCATGCCTTCTGTAGGAGCCGAGGCATTGTAAGAGTGGTAAATGCAATTAAGAATGGGAATGACCTTAATGTCCAACAGCAGTGGATTGGGTAAACAAATTTTGGTCTCCCCGTTTAAAATATCCTATCTGGCTGTCAGAATGATAAGGCAGAAGAATATTTAACTTCATGGAAAAATGCTCCTGACGTACTGGGAAATTGAAGAAGTACACTTTCTTTCTTTATTTTTATTTTTATTTTTTTGCGGTACGCAGGCCTCTCACTGCTGTGGCCTCTCCCCTTGCGGAGCACAGGCTCCGGACGCGCAGGAACAGCGTCCATGGCTCACGGGCCCAGCCGCTCCGCAGCATGTGGGATCTTCCCGAACCGGGCCACGAACCCATGTCCCCTGCATCGGCAGGCGGACTCTCAACCACTGCGCCACCAGGGAAGCCCGAAGAAGTACACTTTCTAAGCAGTGGGTGCTGTATAGCAACAATAACACATACATAATAACAAATTAATAAAAGAGGAACTAACATTTACCTGAAACCCTTGATCCTTGAGTATAGGTCCCAAGCCGACATCCAAAGTTAAAAGGGATCCTGTCTACCCCAGGGTATGAAATCAAATTCACCCTCTCCCACCCTTACCCCCTACTCTGCCCCCAGCACCCCATAATTCCTCATGACCTTGAAGTCTACAGTTCATGTCCTGTGGAGGGAAAGTGCATCGGCTGTTCCCCTACCCTCACCTCCACCTGGGGTTTTGTGAATCTACTCCTGGAATACTGTGGGTATTGAGAACATTCTAAATAATCATAGTTTTTTTCTTTACTTTTACCTGGGCCACTGGAAAGCTCCCCCCCTCTTTTTCTTGGAGGAAGAGTAGGGCTGAGTGATTAGCTAAAGGGTGGGAAATGACAGCCATTTGTCATCCTGGAAGAAGAAGTCCCCCCACTGCAGGCGAAATGAGGAAAAATAGAACTAAAATCTAGCCACAACCTATGTTACAAGACACTGGACTTCCTTTTCTAAAGATCCTCTGAAATGGGATAAAGATTTATGTATTCAGCCACCTTAGAATAGTGTGCGTCAACATGAGGGTCATTAGCCATTATAGCTGTGCTGTCCAGTCCAGTAGCTACTAGCCACACGGGGCTTATGGCACAATTGAAATGTGGCTAGTCTGGATTGAGATGTGCTATAAATGTAAAATACACACTGGATCGGGAAGACCTGGCATGTAAAAAAAAAAAAAAAAATGTAGCCGATCTCATTACTGATTTTTAAAATAATAATCGAAATGATAATATTTTGGATATATTGGATTAAATAAAATATATTATTAAATTTAATTTAACCTTAAACATTTCCTTAAGTTAAAAACTTTTTTAAAGCCCTGTGGTCTCAGTGCCTCAACACAGCACCTATTAATTTCTCATGTAAGCTCCGTGCCCGTGCAGCCAAAGCAGATGTGCAGAAGGTCCTGCTCGTCGTAGTCACGCAGGGACTCTGGCTGAGGGAGCAGCTGCCATCTAGATCACTGTCAGTCACCTTGCCAGAGGGAAAGCCAGAGCTCTGGAGGATATGGCCCTGGCAATTAAATGTTCTGGCCTAGAAGTGACACCCGTTGTTTCTGCTCACAGCTCATTGGCTGGAACTAGTCACATGGCTCTACTTAACCACAAGGGGGCAGGGCGACCCTACCCTGTGCCCCAAAGGCAGAGATCCAGAAATACTTGGTGGACATGACTAGCTTGGTTTCTATCGGCTTTTTTAAAATTTCTTTAGAATATATAGAATTGAATAATAGTAAAAAGTAGAGTGGAATAAAATAGGAAATATCAGAGGGCATCACAAAATTTTAAAGTTATGATTGAGGCTCAATAAATATTTGTAAGATGGTGAAAATTCTTTCTGAAAAGGGATCATAGCCACAACGAACATGTCTTTCTTGCTTTATCACTAACAAAGTGTTTGCCCACTGGTTATCTCATGTGGGGTATTATGGGCCCCCTTTATGGATGACGAAACTGGCTCAGAGAGGTGAGTGATCTGTCCGGGTCACGCCGTCAAATGGCAGAGCTGGGACTTGGGACTAGTGAGATAACTAATGGAACTCCCTCATCAAACCCCAATCTTTTTTCTCTTTCATTTATCAACCCCGATAACTTGCTATTCTTTACTTCTTTTAATAACACTAACATTTAACATATACTGAGTTTAATACTATTATCATTGCTATTTTATAGCCAAGGAAACTGAGGCTCAAACAGATGAGATGACCACCCAAGGTTACATAGCCCCTGGTAAGCTCAGCGGGACTTGGGTTCATATGCAGGTCTATGAGAGTCAAGGCTGTAGTTGTAATGCTCTTTTGCCACCCTGGCTTTTTGAGCTGGTTCTGGAAATCACTTGAATGGCATAATGGATAAGTTTTGAGGGAACTTCCCATGATTGTTTGGTTCATGTGGTCCCAGCAACTCCTGCCTATTACCTCGGGCCCTTCTTACATTCCTAATCCCAGAGGGGCAGATAGCTTGAGATCCTGCATAGAATCTGGAGCCTCAATAACCCACGGACATTAAGAAACACACACATGCGCGCACACTAAACAAAAGATAAAGACTCCCTGATATTAGTAAGTGGAACCACGTGACTAAATTATGCCAGGGTTACATTTTAAAGATCCTGTTTCATTTCTAGCTTTATGGGGCTTGATGTAAGCTTTTGGGAATGTACTTTTATGAGATTCAAAGATATTTATTCTACATGTCCTTTAAAAGCGCCTGTACCATAAATAATAATAACTAATATTTAGTTCCTGCTATATGCCAGACACTGTGCTAAGACATTAACGTAGATTATTTCATTTAACCCTCAATGACATCAGTGAGGTAAATGTAACCCAGGACTGTGGAAGTGAGAAGAACCCTTATGATACATGTGGAAGTGGCCTTAGCTGGGATTCTCAAGTACTGATGAGATCCAGCCTCTGCTCTGCCTCTAACTGCAAATTACTTATGGGCACTTTGATCCTTAGATTTCACATCTGCAACATTCTACCTTTGAGCTGGATGATCTAGAAACTCCTGGAGAGGAGGGGCTTCTCTGAGCAGTGCTTAGCACAAGAGGACTGCATAAACAGCACTATTATTATAATCCAGATAGAGACCATATTTTCTGAAATGAAAATCGGTGTGTACAGTCTGGCAAATGAAAGCCCTTATAGGGACCATGAACGGGGTATTTGAAATTGGAACTTCCCTGGAAACCCTGAGTTACAAAGTTTCAGTTTGGTTGCTAGCTTGTTTGCCACTGGGAAATGAAGCAGCACTAATTCTTATCTTATAACATTGGTTCACACTTATCCACTGCTCACGATGCACCAGACTCTGTGCTAAGACATTTACAATGGTTAACTCCTTTAGTCCTCACAACCACCCTATGCGATCATCTCCATTTCACAGATGAGGAAGCTGGGGCTTCAAGAGATGAGCAATTTTCCCAGGGTCTCGCTACTGGTAGGAGATGGAGTCCAGACTGGCGCTCTGACTCCAGGGTCCTCATTCTTACCACCCTGCTTCCCCTTCTCCAGTATACTGAGGACTTAGCTTTGGGAGGTAGATCAAGAACAAGTCCAACCCAAGCCCTGCTCACATGGAAGATGAGCAGAACATATGCTTCAGGCTCTTTGTAGCCAGTTATCTCATGTATTCCTCCCGTCATCTTTCTGAGGTATGCATTACTATTGACCCCATTTGACAGATGGAGAACTTGAGG